ACCCAGAGGGTTTTCTGCTCCTAGAGGGATCTGTTTACTTGACCCAGTCCACGATTTCTTCATTCTATTTTTGGAAATTCCTGCGGGCTCCATCCTCCGGGAGTGAGAAAGGCCCGAGAGGGCTGGGGTAGGCTGTCGGGAGGCTGGAGCCCAGAGCCCAGAGCACTGGAGAAACAGGAGCGTGAGAGACGGGCTACTTGTTAGGCAGAGGGGTTTCACCCAACACCAACTTGCTAAATGTATAAATAAACGCATGGCAGCGGTTGAGCAGCTCCCTTCCTCCCATCCGGAGAGAGGGCTCCGCCTGACCCCAGCTTTCTGTACATTCGTTCTGTCTTTGCTTCTCCATCCTCTGGCCACCGTCCTTCCACGGGGAATTCCAGAGCTGCGCTGGATGCCGTGATAGGCCCGAGGGAGCAGGTGTTCTCTTCAGCGCTGGTCGGTGGTGCTGGGGTTTGAAGCCCAGGTCCCGGCACACCGGGCACAGCCTCTCCCCTGTGCCATGCCTGCACCCTCCCGCTGTGTTGGCATGCAGAGTGTGTCGTCTAAATCCCTGCTCTCCACACCGAGCGGCCAGTGAACTAGCGGCTCTCAGGAAACGTTTTCCTCCCAGGGGCGGGTCGCGGTGTCGGAGCCTCTTTTGGCCCCAGCACCCAAGAGCTGGCGGCCAGGGATCCTAGGACCCCTTCGCTGCCTCTCCACAGCAAAGAATAATCTGGCCCACAGCACATTATTCCGTGAAATGTCCACAGCGCCAGGGCTGACACACCCTGGGACCCTGCGATAAATCAAGGAGCGAATGAGGACATTTAGTCACCTGCTTCTTTTCTGTTATTCAAGGTGGGGTTTAGCTGTGTAGTATTGTCTGACTTTGAACTCACATTGTAGCCTCAAGGCGATCCTCCTGCCTCAGCCTCCTGAGTGCTGAAATTTGCCACCAGGCATGGTTCGGTGCCTGCTTTTGAACCCAGCACCAGAACACTGTCTTTACAGAAGTCCTCTGCTGTCAAGAAGCCCCTCTTCCAGGTCCATGTTGAGTGGGAGAGTTATCTCTCTAAATCTCCACGCCTGCTCCTCTCCCCAGCCTATGTGCTAATGGCCGGGGGCCATCCGGTCTGGGGTCACAGAAGTGAACCACTGAGGCTCCAGGCATTTTGCAGAGACCCTGGGGGCCACAGATGTGGACTTCCTTACTCCATAGGATGTGAGGTGTGGCCAGGCAGCCAAGGAGCCAGGAGCCCGGTGGGAAGGGGCGATAAGCGCTCGCCAGAGGCCCTGGCAGTGCTTCACAGCTGGGGAGAGGAAACAAAGGCCAACAAAGGGCATGACTAAGACAAACCCACAAGGCCTGGTGCTTAGCACCTGGATTCCACTTCAGAGGGCATCGAAGAGATGAAATAGCTACTTTTTTTTCCTGTTGGGGATTAAACCCAGGACCTCACACATGCTAGGGAAGAGCTCCATCACTGAGCTACACTCCAGCCTGAGATGCATATCTCTGATGTCTCATTACTATGAAACTCAACATCTACCAGGTATGGGGGCGCACCTGTCATCCCAGCACTCTGGGAGGCTGAGGCAAGAGGATCACAAATTCAAGCCCAGCCTGGGCAACTTAGTGACTCAGTGAGACCTTGTCTTAAAATAAAACACGAAAAAGGGCTGGGATGCAGCTCAGTGAGAAGGCCCTGGGTTTAACAGAACAAAACCAAAACAAAACTCATTACTGTTCATACAAATTTCTGTTAATTACTAATGAAAAACCCCAATTTAATTGTGTTTCACTATCCAAGGTAAGGTTGAGAAAAGGAAGAAGAGAAAGAAACAAAGAAACAAAGAAAGAAAGAAAGAAAAGAAAGAGAGAAAACTCCAGGCCAGATAGCTTTCTGATTATGTTGTTAAAGTCACAAGAAAAGTGGATTTTAAATAATATGTGGCCGGGTGTGGGGGTGCACACCTGTAATCCCAGCACTTGGGAGGCTGAGGCAGGAGGATTGCTGCGAGTTCGAGACCAGCCTGGGCTACAGAGTGAGCTCAAGGCCAGCCTGAACTGCATAGCGAGGCCCTGTCTCAAAAAGACAAAAAAAAAAAGTTAAAATTAAATGACATGTAAACTTTAAATAAGCCTTCATTCTAGTGAACACATCCTTGATTCCTACTTATTAAATATTAACTCATACTCACAAATATTATGTTTAAATCTTGCCACAAATATTTATCCATTTCTTCCCTGTGTTTATTTATCTATTTATTTATTTGGTGGTGCTTGGAATTGAACCCAGGACCTTTGTACTGAGCCACAAGTCCAGCTCTTTTTTATTTTTTATTCTGGGGCAGGGTCTAAGTCACTAAGCTGCCACAAGGTGGGTTCAAACTTGTCATCCTCCTGCCTCAGCCTTTCAGAGTGCTGGGATGACACCACCAGGCCTGGCTTGGTTTTTGCTTTTTGTTTTTTCAGCAGTAGAGATGGAACCTAGGGCCTTGTCCATGGCAGGCAAGCACTCTGTCATGATCTATGTCCCCAGCCTATTTAGTTTCTGGATCTGTCTGGCTTCCTACTGTCGACCACTGTGTTAGTTGTTTTATTTTTTTAAAAGAAGGGCCTGTCCGTTGCGAGCCTGAGTCTGTAACCATAAGGGAAGAGTCTGTATTAGACTTTGTAAAGATTTGTTTGGCATCTCTGGTTTATTTTTGCCTCCTGAAATCAAATTTCCTGCTCTTTTGCCATTTAAAAAACAAGTCCCTGCCCCTTGGCCAGCTGTCACTGCCCTTGGCCCGGGCTGGCACTGATCCTCCAGAGGTCTGGTTGCAAGAAGACACCCCTGCCAGCCTGCCCCAGAGCCCCTGGACTCTGCAGCAAACATGTTTCCTTTTTCTTTTCATTTTTCTTTTCCTGCAGTGCTGGGGATCAAACCAGGGCCTCCCCCATGCCAGGCCTGAGCTGTACCACCACGCCACATCCCCAGCCCTGGAGCAGAGTTCTGATGCCAGGGTTCTCCTTGTCACGTGCCTTGAGCTGTAACAATGAAGATTTTTTTGTGGTGAGACTGCACGCATGGCTGGATCCATGGGACCAGCGCGTCTGCTCTGTTGTCTTGGCCGCTGGCTGGGCTGCGGCTGGCACGGGTCTTGGAGGGAAACCCAAGCACAGCTCTGAGCTTCCTCTTCCGTCCATCAGGACTCTCTCCCAACCGTTTTGCACCACGCACATTTTACATAGCTGTCATTTTTCCTTTGGAAAAAATTGCTTAAAATAGCAGAGTCTCCCAGAGCCCTGGAGCCTACATCCCTGGGCGCGCCCCGGCCCTTTCCCTTATTCGGCGTTTGGATTACTCCCAGTTCTCTGCTATCATAAATAGCACATGGAATCTTCACACAAATTACATTTTTTCCCCTTTGAGTTGTTATTTCCTTGGGGCACAGGCCCCACTGGGATTACTGGGTCAAAGGTTCCAAAAGTTTCATTGCTCTTGTTCCTGCTGCCAAGGCGTCCCCGGGGCAGACCCGGCCATCTGAGCCGCTCAAGTATTTCACCAGGTTTCCCACGGTGCAGGAGAAGACTGAGCTTTGTCCCGCTTCTCCTCCTGGCCTCTTCAAGTGGGGAGAGATCTGCAAAAGTTCACAGCAAAACACCAGACTAGAAAGCACTCTTGCTGTAGTCAGGAGGCCTCTCCCAAGAGGTCGGGTGTGACCTGCACTCACCAGCAGAGGGAGGGAGGTCAGCAGCGCCTTTGAGTGGGCAGGCTGGGAAACACAGCAAGAGCCCATCGCAAAAAGGAAAAAACAAATAGCAAGGTGTGGGGCACATGTCTGTCATCCCAGCACTCAGGAGGCTGAGGCAGGAGGATTGACCTGAGTTCAAGGTTAGCCTGAACTATACAGGAGACCCTCTCTCAAAAAACAAAGAAACAAAAGCTGTGCATAAATTCTTAGCCCCGGATTCTAGCCCCACGGGTGCAAATGAGTAAATAAGCAAAACCCCACTGAAAGCTCAGTGGCTTTGGATTCCTGAAGAAAATCGGTCACAGCCAGGTCTGGCTCTGCCCCTGTAACTCCATGGACACCTGGTCCCCATCGTGGTGGCATTGACTGTAAGAGGCAGGACTTACAGAAGGGCTCTAGGGTGGGTGCTGGTCCTGTGGAATGGATCCTGTTGCCTGTGGCCGGATCAGCTCTTTACTGCAATTCTACCCACACGCCAATGTCCCTGCCTCCCCTGTTACAGTGTCAGTCAGCTAGGGCCACAACACATGCTCTTACCAGATGCTGGATTTGTTCTGTTTAGACTTTCCAGAGTCCTGAATAACCAAATAACTTTTGCTTGTTTGGTTTGGTTTTTTGAGACAGGGTCTCACTATGTAGTTCAGGCTGGCCTTGAACTAACTATGTAGCTAGGCTGGCCTTGAACTTGTGGCGATCCTCCTGCCTCAGCTTCTCCAGTGCTGGGATTGCAGCTGGGAACACCACAACTGGCTTTTAGGTTCTCTTTTAAAGTTCTAAATGTTTCAAATTACTTCTGTTTCCTGTATATTCATCTACATTGAAAAAGCCGGCCTTGGTGCCACAAACCTCTAATCCCAGCACTTAGGAGGCTGAGACAGGAGGATCGACAAAAGTTTGAGGCTAGATTGGGCTACATAGTGAGTTGAAGGCCAGCCTGGACTACACAGTGAGATCCTATCAATAAGCAAATAAACAAATAAATATAAACAATATTCAATGGCTTCACCCACCATTACAGGCCTCACCTCACCATTACATGATGTCCTGTCCTCCTGCCTCAGCCTCCTAGTGTGCTGGGATTACAGGTATCCACCACCAGTCCTGTCTTGCAAAGAACATGTCTTACACAAACATGTCTTATTAAATTGCAAAAGCTATATATAATGTATATAATATATAAATATATAACATATATTTACATATATGCCACTAAAATGTATTCACACTTCAGGAAATGAAAAACTTGTATAAATATTTTAATACTAAATTTATTGAGACATCATGAGATTAATACAGGTTTCTTTGGCCTCTACAATTACAAGGGGTGCTTAGAGTGTTGGCCATCAGCTTTCAGACACTTACAAGTACAGAAAACTGCTTCGTGGGCAACATTGGTTGCTGAGATTACTGCACATGCATTTTCAATTTCTTCTCTAAGGGCCGGCAGTGTGGTGAGTTTTCTTCAATATATGATGTCCTCTAGGGTCCTGTATGTTGAAAGCACATCACACTGTTTTTCTTTTCCTGAAGTGTGTATACATTTTGACTCTCTCAATCTGTCCCTCTCTCTCTCTCTCCAACCATTGATGGGGACCACTATGAAGCAGCTGTGAGCAGGACTTAACCAATTGGCTTTCCATGTTTACTTGTGAGTCACTGGTCCCTACTGAGGCCTGTAATGGTGGGTGAAGCCATGAGGCCTCACGGGACAAGACAAGGCCACAGCTGAGGACTTTTGGCTCCCACCCCAATTAACTCAGAGGAGACTGCAGCTACAGGCATCTCACTCCTGCAGTGAAGGCCTTCCTGGAGATAACATAGTTCTCCTAAATCATGTAATGTATTACCTGGAGAAGTCCTTAAAGTGTTTCCCAAGTCCTGCCCAGATTCCTGCATTTTTTTCAGGGTCCCCCTCCTCTGTTTGAAAACCAAATAAATATGGGTCACCCAGAAAGATTCTTGGTCTTAACCCAGAGAATCTCAAATTCTGAAGAAGGTTGGACCCTCCCAGGAGGCCTAAAATCATTTTAGTTGTCTCATTTATTTAGTCCTTTGCTGTCCACTCATTTGGGAGATTGTGGGCCTGATCAGGCCACAATAACTAAGGGATATACATACATATATATATACTTTTTTTTTTTTAACTGAAGGATATTATTAACACGATAAACCATGACTTTAAATGTAAATGAATGAGACTGAAAATGTCAATATCAACTGTCTCTAGGTGGAAAAATGATGGGTCTTTGCATGTTTCTATCTTTGCATTTTCTATTTTGTCTCAATTATTCTGTATTAAGCATACATAACTGTCTCCCCCTTCCCCAGGTACATGGGCTCAAACCCCAGGCTAGGCCAGTGCTCTGCCACTGAGCTCTATACCCAGCCCATTTTATTTCATTATATTTTATTTTTTATGACAGGGTCTCAATAAGATGCCCAGGTTGGCTTTGAACTTTTTTTTTTTTCTTCCGGTACCGGCAATCGAACTCACAACCTCGCGCTTGCCAGGCAGGCGCTGTGCTGCTGAGCTAAATCCCTAGCCCCTGGCTTTGAACTTACTATCCTCCTGCCTCAGCCTCCCAGCGTGCTGGGAATACAGGTGTCCACCACCAGTCCTGGCTTGCAAAGGACATCTTGTGTTTCGGTGCTAGCTTTGTCCTTGAAACCAATTTCCCATCTCAGCCTGAGTGACAGCCCTCAGCATGAAAACCCCTGAGCTGCACAGCTCCACAAGCTGGCACGGGTCCGCGCTTTGTGGGACTCACTGCAGGATGCCTCTGCCCGGAAAACAGAAGCACCTTTCACCTCCATCCACCCTGTGGTACCTTGCACCCAGGACCTGAGTGTCTGCTCACCCCAGTCGGGGCTGGCCCTGAGGCTGCGAGCCGCGTGCACAGCCAGGTCTCTGAGCAGGTTCAGGTTGTTCTGGAATGGAGGGGACAGCACGGTCACCGGCAGGAGGCATGACAGGGCGCCCTCTCCTGCCCTCACTGTCCCCTCCCGACCCCCGGCAAACTGAACATCTGCTTGGGCAGAGGCCGAGGCGGGAGGCTC